CAAATTCTTCCAATTTAAGTCCGAATCACGTCAAACGACGTTCGTTTTCAACCAAATTTCACAGGAAGGACTTAAAACATATATAAGACCTGTACCGGGCGCCAGAACCAAAATACGGGCCTGATACCATCGTTTTCTAATCAAATTTCATTTTCAATTTCCTTAAACAAATTTGAGAAAACAATTTTACAAAAAAATTCATTTCTCGGGCTTGGGACCTCGGAATTCGATTCCGGGAATATGCCCAAGTCCCATATTTTCCTACGAACCCTCCGGGACCGTCAAATCACGGGTCCGGGTCCGTTTACCCAAAATGTTGACCAAAGTCAAATTTATTCATTTTAACATCAAAATTTAGCATTTTTCATAGAATTTCAAGTTTAAGCTTTCCGTCTAGGCGCCCGGACTGTGCACGCAAATCGAGGCGACTCTAAACGAGGTTTTCAAGGCCTCGGAAGCACAGAATTTATTTAAAACAGGTGATGACCCTTTGGGTCATCATAAATATCTATTTATGGTTACCTCCTACTCTTAAGCCATAAAATACTCTTTGTATTATTTTTCTCTCTCATTCTTTCAGATTTTTCTCCACCCTCTCTCTCTCTCTCTCTCTCTCTCTCTCTCTCTCTCAACACGAGTCTTTCTCCATAGTTACCTCCTCTCTCTCTCCGCCTCTTTCTCCATGTTCAACACCTTGCTGATGTCATTAAGGCCAGCCCCAACTCAGCTCAGTAAAATTAAGGGCTGTAAACCCTAATCTAATTAGTCCCTACTTATCGATTTATCCCTATCGATTAATCAATAATCCTTTAATTTATGCGAAGAGACCACGCACATGGGTACACGTACACAAAGCTATGCAAAAGCCATGAAAGAAGGGCTTTGATTCGCATATCGGCGGTTGCTTCTGCTCAGGAAGTGACCTCGGCTCCGGCACCACCGCCGAACCAAGGCGGCGCATTTTCACTACCGGCTTCTGGTGAACGGCGGATTCGCTCGAAATTAGGGTTTGTTCTTGAACAAAGACGACGGAGTTTGGGGCTGAGCAACTTGATTTTCTGTTAATATATTTCAATGTATTTCATAGTATTCATTGTCTTTTTTTCATTGTAATTCAATATATTTCGTTGTATTCCCCATGTATTTCATTGTATTCACTGTCTTTTTTTCCATTGTATTTCAATGTATCCCGCTGTATTCTATGTATTTCATTGTATTCACTGTCTTGCTATATGCCATGAATGTATTCATATGTTTTTTTAATTAATATAATTTATGTATTCAGATGTATTATATAATTTCTCTGAAGATTGCTATGTTTTTGGGGTATTTTTCGGTTGAGAATCTTTTTATAACTAAAAATACAAAATTTGTGTGTTATAATTGAGTTTGTTGAGTTATATTAGGAGTCTATTATGTTAATTGATTCACTTTCCGTTTTAAAAACAGTGTAATCCCCTATTTCACGCCGTGAATACAGTCGAATACAATAATTTGTCCAGCTGTAATCCCATGTTTCACTCCATGAATACAGTCGAATACACTCGAATACAACAACTGATTAGCTGGACTTCCCTGATTCACGCCTATTTTTGCTACTATATTCATGAATACAATAGCTTAAATACATCAAATACATCTTATAACCACAGAAAAGGTATCTATAATCCGTAATATAGCAAATGGTATCTATAGATGACTAATTACTACTAAAAGATAGTGCTTTATGAAAATTTCTCTTTAAAGTATACTCAAATTCTTTTGTCCACTTTTATTGTGTAGATATTAAGAAATAAATCAAATGAAAATCGTTTTTGAGTTATATTAGGAGTTTATTATGTTAATTGACTCACTTTTCGTTTTAAAAACAGTGTAATCCCCTATTTCACGCCGTGAATACAGTCGAATACAATAATCTGTCCAACTGTAATCCCATGTTTCACTCCATGAATACAGTCGAATGCACTCGAATACAACAACTGATTAGCTGGACTTCCCTGATTCACGCCTATTTTTGCTACTATATTCATGAATACAATAGCTTAAATACATCAAATACATCTTATAACCACAAAGGTATCAATAATCCGTAATATAGCAAATGGTATCTATAGATGGCTAACTACTACTAAAAGATAGTGCTTTATGAAAATTTCTCTTTAAAGTATACTCAAATTCTTTTGTCCACTTTTATTGTCTAGATATTAAGAAATAAATCAAATGACAATCTTTTTTGAGTTATATTAGGAGTCTATTATGTTAATTGATTCACTTTCCGTTTTAAAAACAGTGTAATCCCCTATTTCACGCCGTGAATACAGTCGAATACAATAATCTGTCCAGCTGTAATCCCATGTTTCACTCCATGAATACAGTCGAATACACTCGAATACAACAACTGATTAGCTGGACTTCCCTGATTCACGCCTATTTTTGCTACTATATTCATGAATACAATAGCTTAAATACATCAAATACATCTTATAACCACAGAAAAGGTATCTATAATCCATAATATAGCAAATGGTATCTATAGATGGCTAATTACTACTAAAAGATAGTGCTTTATGAAAATTTCTCTTTAAAGTATACTCAAATTCTTTTGTCCACTTTTATTGTCTAGATATTAAGAAATAAATCAAATGACATTTCAAAATGTGAAATTATTTTAAACGGTAAAAAAAATTGATCAATATTTTGTACAAAGAAATACGAATAGGAAAATAATGTATATTTGTAATTAGCCGCAAATAAATGCACTTTAGAAAGAAATTAAGGTAAAATAAGATAATGATCGGGCTAACAATTTATAAGAACTGTTAATAATAATCGAGCTCGGATTCCTATATGATTACTTAGGCATGAATAGAAGTCTCATTAAAATAAGTAAAATATAGGTAAAAAATTCTCAATTTTTCTAACACAATTCGTGTAATAAGTAATATAAAATTTACATGCAATACACCTAAGCAAGTGCTCGGACAAAGTTGAATTATCTTTTTACCTTTCAATCAACGCTATTTCTATGATTTTTTAATACAATGAAGCAAGTAAGAGAACAAATCGAGGAAAAGACCACTAGAGTAGCAAACTCCCAAATATTATCATTTTGGAACTTGTTATTTTTTGTTAATTTTTACATTATAACGCAAACACATCCTTTGAAAATTATTTATGTTATTTATAAAAACATGTTTTCTTTAACACGAGGGACGTTACGCGTACACTAAGATTAGTTAACTTGAAAAGGATTTTCGATTAAGACTATTATGCCTTAAGTACGAACTTATTTCATGCAAGGCCCTATTGGTAATAACATAACACAAACCAAAGTGGCCATCCTTCTCAAATTACTTGGGGAAATTTCTAGAGTTGACAAGTCTCCAAGACCAATAAAAACGTTTTTTGACAGTTAATGCAAATCAAGAAGAAGTTAATGAGTACCTAAAAAAAATTGAAGTCTCAACCAAACATTTATATTTAGGGGTGGGCATAGTTTGGCCAAATGCAAAAGTCAAATCAAAACTCAAATTCTTTAGATTTTTTGCTTGGATTTTCGGATTATGAATTAGATTTCAAATTTATTTTTTAAAATTTTTGGATTTCGGATTGGATATTGGATTTGGTACTTCAGATTATTGGATATCAGAAAACCTATAATTCTTATTCTTTATATTTAATGCTACCCATTAAATAATAGTACATTATCCATATGCCAATCGTAAAAATCCAATACCGTACCCATTAGACTTTATTTCCTGTATTATAATTATTAAGTTACTGTGAGAATACTTTAAAATGGTTCTAGATAAATTATTTATATTTATTAAGCAAATATCTTAATAAAAATATAAAATTTGGTCAGAGCTACTGGATAACTTGTAACTAGAACTCTAGCTCTACTCACGTATGTTATCGGGATGCACAACATAGTTTATTACTCCTTCCGGTCCAAAATAAGTGATTTTTTAGCTGATTTCACACCGATTAAGAAATCCACCTTTTAGCATTAATTAACAATCGAATTGACCATAACCTTTATATCTTTTCACATAAACAATCCTAACACATGCTCCAATATTATTTACTCCAAGGGCAATGTAGGAAAAAAAATAATTAATTCATTCTTGAAATCTGGAAAAATCACTTATTATGGACCACAAAAAAAAGGCCAAAAAATCACTTATATTGGACCGGAGGAGTATTGAAGAAAAAGAAAAAGCCGACTTCTTTTTAGTAGCTTACTTTTTAGGGTTTATTTGGTAACTAGAACTGCAAAATTTATTAGCTTCACCCAATAATTAAATGCGCACTAAAAAATTTCAATCTCTCCTTTCCCTATGTCAAATGTAAATTCCTTGAATAATTTTTATAGTCTGTTTGGCTTAGCTTTTTTGAAGTCAAATTTATTTTATTTTTAAACATAAAGTTAAGGTGTTTGGTCAAACTTTTAGGAGGAAAAAAGTACTTTTAAGTAGAAACAGAAGCAGGTTTTGAGAAACAGAAAAAAATAGCATCTTCGAAGAAACACTTTTGGGAAAAATACACTTAGAAATACTTTTTAAAAGCTAGGTCAAATACTAATTGCTACTGAAAAGTGCTTTTAGCAGTTGTTCCTAAACCATCCAGCTGAATCGTTAGGAAAATAATTGAAGCCAGGAAATAGTTCCCAAATATGGATCCTAGAGCACAATTGCAAAAGTAGTGTACAAATGAAAGCTTTTCTATAAACAAAGCTTATCTATCTCTTCATAAATAGATAGATAGGTAAGGAATAGTTTCTTTTTTGGAGCACAAGTTCGGGAGTCAAAAAGAACTAATTGATGTACATTATTATACCTGGTTGAATAAAAAAATGCAGTTCGACCAAAAAAACAAGCAATATATTGAATTTTCGAAATTCACAAAAATTAAAATTAATTTAGTAAAACACAAACTGCTTCTCACCAAAAGTACTTTTTTGAAAAACACTTTTATAAAAAGCACTTCTCAATATAAGCTTAGCCAAACATATGAATTGGTAACTGAAAAAAGGAGTTAACAGAGAGAATCACAGAAGTATGAGCTGATTTTTAAGCGTGTGAACAAAGTCCTACGTGGAAAGCAAAAAAGAAAAATAAGTTACTTATAAGGTATTGAATACTCTTAATGGTATGAGACATTTTGTAAAAATCGTGCGAATTTTTTTCAAAGCAAACAATATCACACTATGTTAAAAATATCTTTGTGCCAATTTAGCCGAATACCAATGACACGTCTGGCTTGATTAGGTTTTTCTTGTTGTGTTGAGTAACAAATTTTGTTTTCCAAAAGGAAGTTCCAGTATTCCAAACAAAGAAACTCTAATCATAATACTATATTATAAGTGGAAAGTCTCAAAGAGAAAGTTTTTTTTTTTATGGAAATACGGAATTTATATTACTTAACTAGTTCTATTACAAGGATAGAGAGTCCTACTGGGCTCGTTCATAGGTTGTACTACCATATTGTCTACATTAGTAGTGCCAGTTACAAAAGGATTTCCAAATTCTACTAATTTGGAAATTGCAGCATTAGATATGGTCCTACTATAAGTGCTTCCAGTTTTATCATTATGGAGGGCTTGCAAAAGAGAGTTTGGAGGCTGTTCCATCAGATAGGGAGTGGAGCTACTTGATTGCTTAAATCCTTGAGTGGCCAAAAAGTGCGCTACTTTGTTCCCTTCCCTGAAGTTATGCCGGATCGCGAATTCTGCAATTTTCTCGGTAGTGACCTGCACTCAATAACCAAGTTAGAGTAAATAGAACAAGTATCATTAATAAGCAAGGAAATTACATCTGTTGCATCGGTCTCAATTTCAATATCAACAAATTTTTTATCACAAGCTAGTTGAAGACCAGTTTTGAGGGCTAAGAGTTCCATGTAGGCAGGGGTGTAGGCTATGGCAGAATTGAGGTAACCCAAAATCCAATCCCCACGGCCATTCCTGAATACAACCCCCGATGCCTCATTTTCTATATTTTCCTTTGAAGGCCCCATCAATGTTAAGCTTTAAGGAGTGGTTTGTTGGGGTAAGCCATTTAATAGTGATGGTGATAGACGGAGGAACATGGTTTGGAGAGTTGGTACAGTAGATAAATTCTTTGCAACGTATTAGAACTGCTTCAAGAGAAAGCTGCTTACACTTTTTGTTGAAAGAGTTATTATTATGATTTAACCACAGAGACCATATGGCAAAAGGAAATAACATATCCCAGGAGATATCCCATTGATCTAAAGTTTTGTGCAGATCTTTTAAGGTATTGAGCCAGTGGTCAGAGTTTTGCTGAAAGTGAGGAAGATTGAGTTGAGCGTCGCTCCAAAATTTGGTGGCTATGGGGCATTCAATGAATATGTGAATAAGCGACTCCTCTGCTACTTTGCATATGGTACAGAGGGTGTCAATGTGTAGTCCGATTTGGTGCAAATAGCTTAGAGTAGGAAGGCGATTGTGCGAGCATTGCCATAGGAAGTATTTAATCTTATGGAGCGTGTTAAGTTTCCAGATCCATTGGAATTTAAAATTATTGGGAAGTGATGGTGAGATTAACTTGTATATAGAGCTAGAGGAAAAGATACCATTGGAGGTGTGAGCCCAAGTGGGTATGTCCCTAGCATTGGTGAGGGAGTCTAGATTTATGGAAAGAATTATGTTTTTGATTTCTGTGGGCAGAGTAAAGGATAGTTTTGAGAGGTCCCAAGAGTTTATTCCCAGAGGTCTTTGACTTTGAGTGTTTTTGGTCATTGTAATTAACTGGAACCTGGATGATTGAGCTTAAAGGTGGGAGCCCCGGTATCCATGCAGAGGTCCAACAGTTAATGTTGCCCGGGCCCACAGTGTAGACCTTGACTACAGATTTTCCAACCTGTTATGATGTTATTCCAGATGAAATGGATTGGAGATAGGGTTCTTCTGTGGCTGTATGTTGAAATAAGAGTGGAGGCCCATAGAGAACTAGGATTGTTGAATAGACGCCAGAAGAGACTAGCTAGGGATACCATGTTTTTATCTATTGCTCTCCTGAGACCCAGACCCCCAGCATGTTTTGGTTGAGTAATAGTGGACCATTTGATATAGTGAATTTTCCGTTTTTGAGTGGTGGTGCCCCAGATAAAATCTCTTTGAATTTTGTCAATTCGCTTTAGAGTGGATGAAGGGAGCATGATATATTGCATTACATGGTTCGGGATAGCATTAAGAGTTGATCTAGCGAGGGTTGTTCTTCCTGCGATGGAAAGGAAGTTTGTTTTCCAACCAGCAAGTTTTGTGTTTATGTGATCAATAATGTAGCGAACATCAGATTTTTGGGTTTTCAAGTGAGAATTGGGAAACCCAAGTATTTTCCAAAGTTATCACTGGGTTGGATGTCCAGTTGGCAAAGTGATTTTTTGTATGAGCGTCACAGTTTCGTGAAAAGATGATTTTTGATTTAGAATTATTGATTTTTTGGCCCGAAAGCTTGGAAAAGAATGTAAGGCTATGTTTGATTGTGTGGATGGACTTTGAGTTAGCATTGGCAGAGAGAGTTAAGTCATCGGCGTAGAATAGGTGAGAGATGGGAAGGCCAGTGGGATTGATATTTATCGGGTCCCAGAGTCCGATGTTGACTTGGTGATTAATGTATTTCGATAATAATTCCATGCATAGGATAAAAAGGTAGGGGGAGACATTGGGTCGCCTTGACGTATACTTCTTGAGGGGTGAAAGAATTCTGTTTTGGAGCCATTAACTAAGATGGCAATTCTGGAAGTGCTGACGTAGCTCATAATAAGTTTAGTGATGCGAGGGAAAAATTTGAAGAAAAGTAATGCCCGGTAAAATGACCATTCGAGACGGTCGAACGCTTTTTCCAAATCAATTTTAAGGAGGACCTTTCCTTGTTGACCCCTTATTTTTTGGAAGTGGTTTATGATTTCTTGAATCATGATGGCGTTGTCACAAGTTTTTCTACCCTTAAGGAAGCTGGATTGACAAGGGCTAATTAATTTGTCAAGGAAGGGTTTGATTCTATTAACGATAATCTTGGTGACTACCTTGTAGATGGTGTTACAGAGACCGATGGGTCGGAGGTTGTTAAGGTTGTTTGCATTTTGAAACTTTGGGATGAGACAGATATATGTAGAATTGAATGTGGTTGGAATAGAAAGGTCCTTAAATTTTTTTTGACAAAAGGCTAGAACCGGATTCTTTATAATATGCCAATATTTTTGATAAAAAAAAGACCATATATGCCATAAGAATTTTAAACGACCATCCTGCCATTCATTTAAATACTACTGTTTGTATCAAAACGTAAATAAACATTTAAATAAATATGAAATTACGTAAAAATATTCTACACGCCTAATAATGTGAACTCTAGGGTAAATGAAAAGCCTATTTTTCAATTCCACATTTATGTTGTCCACTAGTGAATTTGTTCGCGCTTTGCGCTATACATTAAAGAAGAATTTAGAATTATATTCCTATGAATCAAGTCGAGATAGAGAGACAAAAATTTTTTGCTTAGAGTTGAGACTTCTTTTCCCTACTAATTAACAAAATAAATAAGAAGATCAATTTGTTAACATCAATTCATATATGTCATTCATTTATAAAAAGGAACTCAATTTTATTAAATATAAATTAGATAGACAGTATAAAAGTATTCATAGTATCCATTTATTTTTCACTTTTATCTTCTTTTAATACGGTGACATTGCCTCTTCTATTTCCTACTTTTATTTGTTTTCTTCACCAAATGCATCTACATTATAATCATCAGACAATATATAGCCGGCAATAATAATAATAATAATAATAATAATAATAATAATAATAATAATAATAATAATAATAATAATAATAATAATATTGATAGAGACTTTTATTCTAACCATAGGATAAATAGGAAAGTATAAGATAAAGGCAAGTAAATGGAAAAAAAGATAATAGAATATACCATGTTGAGTAATAGTATCCTCTCGAGCTGTTTTGGTTTGACATAAGAGTAGAAAAGCTAATTCAAGAAATAGTGAAAGAACCAGAGTAAAAATTACATCAAAATCCAATAATCCATGGATAATGTCTATGTACTACACTTTAGGAATTTTGCGGAGAATCATATGCAAGAGCGAAAATGTCGCTGTCACAACTGTAACCAAGCCAAGCTCCTGAATAGTGAATACAAAGACAAGTAGCAGGTACGGTCACCACTCGTGCACACACCACGATATAATTCATCTAGTAATCCTTATAGGAGAAAAGAAAATAGTGTTATTAAGCATATAAATTTATATTGAAGTAATTATAACGAAAGAATTAACAATACCTGTAGAGATCCATCATAAGTGAACCGGCACAAACAACAATACTCTTTCGCAGCTTTGGATAACACAATGGTTTGAAGAGTAGATAAATTGTGCTCTTCACCATAGTGAAAATGCTGAGAATGAAAATTATAACGAAATATTTTTTAGAATAGCCAAACTCGTGTGCTATAATAAAATTGCATTCTAGATCTTTTCCTTAGGCCATATATGCCTTGAGAACTCTTGTGATTCTTGAAATTCTCTTTTAATTTTTTTTATATGACTGCAATATTAATCAGATAAATCGTTAAATTAGAGAAAGGATATGAAAAATATGCAATTCCATGAGATATAAAAAGTTTGTCGATGGCTAACCTGTCTGCGAGTATCATTTGGAGCACCTTCAATATTATCAGAAAGAGGCTTAGATTACAAAAAGACATAATGACGAACAGAGTTTGCAACGTACTTGTCAGATCAGGTGCTTGGCTTTGAAATTTAATTCCCTTTGTGATATAACAGATACGTTATACCAATGCTAGCTTAAGAGATATGCCATGTCAGCATTTATTTTTCCTCTTTCATATATATATATATATATATATATATAGATTGAATGCCCAGCAGCTATATCTCAATGTTTATGTACAAAATGTAAAATTAAACTTTTGTGTTGAAATTTTAAAATTGTTCTGAGAATTTTCAAAACATTTCTATGGAATATCTATCTAAATTCTTCACAATCTTTTATGGAATACCTATCTAAATTCTTCACATTCTTTTAACATTAGTCTTTTGAAATGGTTATACATGTATATAACTATAAAGATAAGCATTCATACAATTCTAATTAAATGGCTCATTTTGTCTACATTTCACACATTTATTAACAATATTGATGTGACTATTAAAATTTTATACCCATTGACATGAGATACACGCAGAGGCGGCTAGAGGGTGACGCCATTAAAGCCAGGGTTTTAGGCCCCAGAATTTTGGGGCCCAATTTCTTTTTCCAATTTCTACTTGATATTTGGTATATAATTTGGGGCATTGATTAATTCAAATTCGTACCATGTAAAGTTCAATAAAGTAGGAACCGCTCCTTAGAAAAAAAATCACTCCAAATACTCCAACCAAATACCTCCGGTTAAAGAAGAGGGATCCTATCCGACCCTAGTGGTGAGGCCCCAAATCTTTTTAAGAAAATATAAGTATTTCAAAGTAGAAAAATTAAATGTTTTATGAGGGTGTTGGCCAAGCTTATAAGTTGGTCAAACTAGCTTATAAGCACTTTTTGGCTTATCTACGCGTTTGGTAAAGTTAAAAGTGCTTATAAGCCAAGTGCTTATAAGTCAAAAATAATCCAAAAGCCATAAGCTGGTCACCCCCAGGTTATGAATTTTTAGCTTATAAGCATTTTAAGTTTGACCAAAATTTTTACTATTTTATCCTTAAAATATTTCTTTCTAGAACAAAACTCCTACATCGATACTCACTGCCTCAAATATTTTGTCATATTTAGGTTTATTTTTTACTGAGAAACTTTTGTCAATTTATTAATTATTATAACTTATGATTATATGCTTATCATAAAAATTATCTTATCTGAGCACATTTGTATTTAAAATAAAATGACAAATAGAATATTCTGTATTTATCGATTTGGAATCTAAAATTTTAAAGAAATTACGCCCTTATAAGTGTAAACAGTTCTAAGGTTATTTAAGTCATTTTAACAGAAAAAAAACTTATTAGCACTTTTTTATCAAAATACTGCAGCAACTTATTATCAATTTCAGCACTTGTACCCAAACACGTAACTGCTTATTCATTAAATCAATTTCAGCACTTAAAAGTGCGTTTCAGCACCTAATGCTTATCAGCTGCTTCAAATAAACTAATCCAAATGGGCTCTGTATATATAAAAAAACTTACATTTATCAAAATAAAATGAGTAATACACTTTTAAGCTGTATCTTTATTTGTTTTTTGTTTTTTCTCAAATTTATCACTGCAACAGGCATATTGAAACATCAAAATTATTTTAATATAAAGTTATCAATTTCTTGAATCAGGTTCTACTACCTAAGATCAATAGTGTCACAGGAGAGATTAAATGGTTTATGTAAAAAATTATTAAAAATTTTATTCTCTAAAAGCTAGAAAAATCTACTTCAAATATAAATATATATTTAAAAAATTTTAAAAAATTAGGCCTTCCACTAAAGTTTGGCCTTAGGCCACCAAACTTATTGAGCTGCCCAGGGTACACGCGCAACGCGTGCCAGAAACTAGTTAGCTGAAACACACCATGTCAAAAGTATCTTTGTGCCGGTCTAGCCCAACACCATTGACACACATCTGGCTTGATTGTTGTGTTGATGAATTAATTTATTTTCCAAAAGGAAGTTCCAATATTCCAAACAAAGAAACTTTATAAATAAGCTGAAGGCACACCATTGTAAGGATCACCAAAGACTGCAACATTGCCTGGCCTTGAGAATACAATCTACAAGATAGAAGCACCCTTTATAAGTTGTTTTACTTCTCAGATTTAGTGAGATAATTTCAAGATTTCTGGTAAAAAATGGATAAATGCATGTATTTACTACTGAAGACATAATTTAATAAAGGCAGAATAGTTTGGTAGACACTTGTACTTATACCGCTTTGACATCCCGGTCCCAATACTTTGCAAAGTTTCATCTAAACACTTATACGTATCCAAATAGAATATTTTAAATACCTCTAACCATTGACTGAGCTTATTGGCATTTATATGGATGAGTTGGACAAAGCACGTGTTTTGTACGCACATATGGTACGTGAATTCACTGAATTGGTGATTTTACTTCAAGGGAAATAAGAAAACGACAAAACCAAAAAATAAACAAAAAAAAAAAGGAAAGAAAAATATAATCCCCTCCCTTATCGTCCTTCTCTGTTTCTCCCCTTCCCTTTCTCTTTTCTTTATCAGATCCCACCCCTTCCCCTTCCCTTTCTCTTTCTTTATTCTTTTCTTCATAAGATTTTCTGCTTTGTGCATCCCTTCTTCCATCAATTCGTCTCCAACCGTCTTCTTCCCCTTTTCCCTTTCCATAGTTCCACCATTTTTTTCGATGGTCAAAGTTTCTAAATCAAATTTTTCTTCCACCAATACTCTCCAAAAATAAAAATATATTAAAATAAATAAATTTTGTTTGAATTTCATACTTCTTAAATACTAAGCTTGTTGGGTATATTTTCTGGCGAGTGAAGCATTTCAAAATTTTGAGCTTGATAGTTATCTTCTATGGCTACTATTTCTTGTCGCTGGCGGAAGGAGTGGTGTCGCGATGGTCACTAGTAGTTCTAAAAATGGGTAAGACTGGAAAGTTGACGGTGAGGAGTGGAGTGATTGTGAATTTGTGTGTTAGTGTCAATTAAAATTTTGTAAATTCTATCCGTTTGGAGAAAATATGTATATGAGCCATTGTTCCGGTGGGTTGACTGAAACATGATTTAAAGGACCCGAAAATGAGTGAGAAAACGTGAAACAGAGGGTTTTAACTTTAGTTTTTCAAATGGAATTTTTAATTGACAAAGATAAAAAAATGACATGGCAAGTGATGTGGATCTGATGTGTCATTCATGTCAAGCAAGTGAGAAACACGTATGATAGTCAATGGTCAGAGGTGTTTAAAATACTCTTGTTGGACACGTACAAGTGCTTAGATGAAACTTCGCAAAGTAGTGGGACCGGGATGTCAAAGCGGTATAAGTACAAGTGTCTAACAGACAATTCTCCCTTTAATAAATAAAAGTGTCTCTACTTGGACTGCTTAAGTTTTCGAAGATTTATCACCATATACCTGATAATCTCCTAGCGTGCATGTTTTGAATCCAGCAGCACAGTAATCAAAGTAGTACTCCCATGTCCTGATGAACTTATCATCGAATCCCAAAGCGCGAATTTGGCTAGTGATAAAGTTATCAATAGTCAAGTATAAGCATTTACAACTGATGAAGCTACGAATGCTTCATTAGGGAAACAGGTTTAAGGTTCTTGACATATTTTGATCTTGTTACCTTTGATTTTTCAAGAATTTTTCTCGCCAATCATCTCAGCGTCTGATAATAGTGAATTCCTATCTCCTCCAGGTGCACTACACTGCATTCATATCATTTATCAAATGTTTTCAGAAAGAAATGCTTCTGCAAATGTGACGACAACAACAACAATTCCACTAAGTTCCCACAAGTGGGGTCTGGGAAAAGTAATGTATACGCAGAGCGGCAGAGGCGAATTCAGGATTTAAAATTTATGGGTTCAACCTTTAAGATTTTTAGCATTGAACCCATTATATTCTTAAAGAAGACCTTTGAAACTTGTGGTCTTAAAAGATTAAGTGGTAAAAGCTTTGTGGGACCATGACATTTGTGTGGTTATAAAAGCTTCTCATCAAAGGTAAAATGAAGAGTTTAAAGTTGAATTAATTCCATTAGTAGAAATGTGTCATTCTTTTTGGAACGGACTAATAAGTAAAGTGTGTCATCTGAATTGAAACAGAAGGAGTACTATTTTTTGCAAATTTAGTAGATTTTTCCACATAATTTATGCTCCGCATCACTTGAACCCGTCATGTACATGCTACATACGCCCCTGTGTGCGCGCAGACCTTACCTCTACCCTGGAAGGGTAGAGAGGTTGTTTTCTATGGACCATCGGCTAGAGAGTAGATGAAAAAAAGCATTGGCCATAAGTAGTAACAACATCAACAAAATGTGACAGCATGCTAGTGCAAAATCACAAAATGAAATCTTTGTTACCATAATCTGGATGCAGCAGCCATAGCTGATGTTACTCGACTTAGTGCAGGCTGTTGGGATATATTATTAACCATGCGGTTTAGACATAGTATTATATTTTGTTCTTTATGAAATAATTGTTTATTTAATTTATTCAATTCAATAAAGCACTATTTTAAATAGATCATTTGTAACATATGTGTCCTTTTGATTATGTAGTAGACAATTTAGTGTATGGAGTCTTAGCTCATACACAGAAGATTAAATTGTTGGTTCTCATAATTAATAAAATATGTTCACAATCGAAGATATTATCGGACAAAATATCTTGATGATTGTAGCACAAGATTATTGTATAATTTGTCTTGATTATGGGAGTAAGTATACTCCAACTTCTTGTGCTAGTATACTCTGTATATTGAACGGACCAATTAGAGAAAAGGTGTTTTTGTACTGAATACATATAAAACACTTTCTCTAATTCATTAAATGAGCTTATACTCCTAATCTTGATATACTTATTATGATCAATGTAATTTGTTTATTGTTTTGATTTATTAAAAGGTATGACTCTATTTAGAGTTAGTATATGCCTAATAAATTGGACAATAACAAATAACATTTGTGAATAATAATTAGTTGATAGAATCCATGACTTGGTTTTTGGGTTTGATAATACCCCTTTATATAAGCTTATAAGTTTTTATGTGAAAACCCGGTCGGTGGATTTTGTATCCGTCACATGAGATGGTTTAAGCGGAATTATAAAAGATTTAATTAGTTAATTGAATTAAATTATCAGTGATTTAATTTAATTAACTGGTATTTGAAATCTTAACACGGGGAGTTAAAATAAGTGTTAGTGAATTTACGAAATTCATATTGAGGAGTTCAATTGCAGTTTTTTAGCGGAATAAATTGCAATTAATTATAGTAAGAATTAATTCATGCTAATTTAGAATTAATACTGTAATTGGTAGCCTCTTATTATTTCTGTGGTCCCTGCTATACCTAGTAAAAACCTGGACAGACTTGGGTAAAAAGTAGCTTGGGAGAAAAGTTACTCTTTTGAGTTAGAGTAGGATTCTACTTATGGAATCCTAGTCTTACACGATTTTAAGCCTATTTTAGGGCTTAATTTCGAGTCTATAAAAGGGCGTGGCCATGGCACGGCTCAGGAC